GAACTTTAAAACCCAAGAACAAGTTTGGGCAGAGCTAGTGTTCAATGGTCCAAACCGTGTGGGCCAAGCGTTTACTTGAACTAGAGAAAAACCACCAAGGGACCAAACATGAAGACCAAGTGTGATCTTAAGCCCAACGGACCAAGTAATTCGAACCACACAGCCCAAGTACGAACTTGGCCAAGCGTAGCTAAGGAGGATGACCAACTTGAATCAGGGCGTTGAACCAACCGTAAGAGCGTCCGGTAAGAACCAATCGTGCAAATTAACTCGCATCCAATAAACAGAAAGAGTGCTTGATCTGACACGGATAACAGAATTGCTTAACAGATTCTTTGCTCTTCCCATTGAGGAGCAACCTAACATTTCGGCTAAGTGTCAGGCGGCAAAGAGAGAAACTTGGTGGGCAAGTCAAACGTTCCTTATAAAAGGTAACCTGACTCTCCTTGAGGGGGATCGATCGCTAAACACTCTAAACTGACTCGTCTATTCTACCTTCCCTATACCAAACTCTGGTACTGACTCGACCCTCGGAGGGGTTTCCGACCAATCCCCGGTCAGGCAACTTAACCGTTTGTTCCTTGTGTAGGCCTTCACCCATCGGTGCACCAGGGTTCATCCATGAAGTTTCATTTTACTCTATTGCGGAAATCAGTCCGCACACTTAGGAGATTATTAGTTTGAATGTAAATCAAGACAACGAACAGATTCATATGTATCTAGTAAAATCTAATGTCTAATACAAGAATAAAAAAGAAGAAGGTAAGTTACATGAATATATCTAAAATATATGTGTGCACATTCACACATTTGGACATCATTAGAAAAATATCACGGTTATCGAAGTCATAATTTTCAATCTTCAGAACATTGAGTTTATATATCTAGACAAAGGACAAATTTCTTTCCCACAAATTCAATATCATTGTAAGACCAATCATATGTTGTTAAAATGCAGTCCCACTAGCCAATTAGGAGAAATACATATGAAACTAAGGGCATCATACATGTCACATAAGTATCCACCTGCCATGTCAAGTCCAACAACACTTATCATGTAAGGTTTTGTTCTGAGCTTTGACATGCACTGGGCAACATTTCTTGCTACACCACCTAGTATATAATGCACCTGAATAAAAGAACTCCACATTATAGGCACGCAAAAGAAAATTATAAAGAAAGTATTTCCTATTTTACTCTCAAATTATTCACCTACAATTTGAATGAATTAAATTGAATCTACACCTATAATCCAGACTAGGTAAAGAACTTTGGTTTTATAAAAATTTAGTGTTATAAAAATTACTTAATAGACTAAGCATAGATTTTCCAATCAGAACTCAGAAGCTCTCTCTTTAAATCCATTTATTTTCTAACACTGTGCTTGGCCTTTGTGTGAGATTCCAAAGCATTTTCCAAGTTAAATGACCTGCAAGAAATTTGGGCGAGGGAAAATTGAGATAATATTTTTGGTAACATTCGTACTATATCAGTGTCCAATAAATATCAGCAATTAACAAAGAACATTTAAAATACACGTTAACAAAGACAACAGATTGTTATCCTAATAATACCTAGATGGGTATATATATATTCCCAAACAAAAACAAAAAATAAAAACAAGTGTTGGAAATCCTGAACTACTTTAGTAATCTAATAATCTGAAACCTAAAACTTATAGGACCAAACTTTCCCTAACAGTATTTGCAATCTGCCTTGGATTCGAGATTGCAAATAAGTAAGAGAGATTACATACCATACCAATCTCCCTAATTTCTCTAACAAAATCAAATCCATACCATACACGTTTGACTCGACATAGAGAGTAAAACTCATGATCATTCTATAGTATATGTTTATAATCAATTAATTTCAATTGTCCAAGAGCTAGAAAAATAAAAATAAAAATTAAGAGTAAGATAAGATCAAATATTACATATCAAAATATTTGTGCATTGCCACAAGCACTAGCTTCTCCCATCTACTTGATTGATTCTGTTTAAGAACATGTATATAGCCCCTTACCTTAGTTCCTACTTCTTCTATGAATTTTCAGAATGTAAATATGGGGAAAATTATTATTGTGCTTCACATATTAGGCCTGTTTGATAGAGCTTATAAGCTGCTTATTTCAGCTTTTAGCTTAATTTAAGCTAAAATATTGTGTTTGGTGCAGCTTAAGTTAACCAGCTTATAGCTATACCATACCAATCTCCCTAATTTCTCTAACAAAATCAAATCCATACCATACACGTTTGACTCGACATAGAGAGTAAAACTCATGATCGTTCTATAGTATATGTTTATAATCAATTAATTTCAATTGTCCAAGAGCTAGAAAAATAAAAATAAAAATTAAGAGTAAGATAAGATCAAATATTACATATCAAAATATTTGTGCATTGCCACAAGCACTAGCTTCTCCCATCTACTTGATTGATTCTGTTTAAGAACGTGTATATAGCCCCTTAACTTAGTTCTTACTTCTTCTATGAATTTTCAGAATGTAAATATGGGGAAAATTATTATTGTGCTTCACATATTAACTTGAATATGAAACTAATTTTTTAAAGCTGTAAAAAATTCAATAAATAAATAAATAAACAAAACACTAACTGTACTACAAAAGATTTCAATTAAAATTCTAATGCACCTTCATCAGAAAAATACTAAAATAAAACAAGTCTATACAAGATTTTTCTTTGAATATCGTGTCATAAATTCTTTTTAAAAACTATATGTAATTGTGAGTAACAAAGCCAGAGAGAGAGAGATGAGAATAAAAAGTAAATGAATCAAACCCTATCTTTTGTTCTCTCACAGTATCTCTCCTAAATTCTATGAAATTTGCGAAATTGGCTATGAATCGCAGAACAAAAAAAAAAAATCAAATTCAGATGCATGTATATAAATATGCATGTATATGTGAGAAGAATTGAAAATAGATAGAACCATTTTAGAGGAGAAAAGAAAGAATTGCAGATAATTGAAAACCTAAATTTCCTAAATCAGATAAAGAGAGAAGCAGAGGTGACAGAGGAGGTTGAGGATTGCAAAATTACTTGTATTCTCATAAGACACCGATTAAATCACCTAATTTGCAATGAAATCACCTAAAAATTCAACAAATTGACAGGTACATTACAAGTTTCTGAATTCAGAAACAATTTAAGAAAGGGAGAGAGAAGAGAGATTGAGAAATCAAGAGAGAGAGAGAGAGAAAGAGAGCCATACTTGTGATGACCATCGGTGAGTGCGAGATGGAGCTAAGGCACATTGAGAGCTTCTATCATATATATATAGAGAGAGAGAGTTATGAAATTGAAATTGGGAAAAATTAATTAAAGAAAGTCGTGTAGTTTTAAGAACATTAGCCACTTATTATTGGCATCCCTTACCGCGGTTGCTAATAGTTATTTATTTTTTGTGACCGCTTATTTGACGGTCACAAAAGAAGTAAATGTAAAAAGTCAATTTTCTAGTAGTGAATGGCTTATATCACTTATACATATATATACACACACTTAAAGGTGGGCCAAACACACCTTAACAAATCAGACAGAATAAATTTTTAATTAAACTTCCCAAATGATTCTAAAAATTCCAATTAACCTGTCTAGGTACACCATTTCGGTTTTTGAACCTATTTAGGCCGTCAATTTCAGAGTTCAAGTCAAAATCACACAAGATAATTCATTCCGAATCAAAGTTTTACCAAAATTCATACTAGACTATAAAAATCATGCTGATCATATCTATGTGGTTGGTTTTGGTTTATCACGCCTCTAAGGCTTTCAATTTTCAATCCAAAGGGCGTAATTTTGACAGATTTTCTTATAACTGACAGATACAATTCCATAATCATGTAATTCACACATTGAAAATATGTAATTTCATATCAAGCATAAAATCACACATATAATTAAAGACTTAAAGCATATGAAAGGGTCGGGGTTATCACACTAAGGGTTTGCAATACAGTTCTCAAATGTTGCTCATAATCAATTCTGCTCTTTGAATATATCAAGATGTCATCAATAAAAACTATAAAAAAAACTCATCAAGATAAGACTTAAAAATTCGATTCATAAGATCCATGAACGCCGCAGGTGCATTAGTCACTCCAAAGGGCATAACAAGAAATTCGTAGTTACCATACATTGTTCAAAATGCAGTCTTCTCAACATCCTCTACTTTTACCTTTAACTGGTGGTATCTGGATCTCAAATCAATCTTTGAAAATACTTGTGAACCCTACAACTGGTCAAATAAATCATCAATTCGGGGCAATGGATATTTATTCTTGATTGTTACCTTGTTCTACTCCTGGTAGTCAATACACAAACGTAAGGTCCTATCTTTCTTCTTTACAAATAACACCAGCGCGCCCCATGGGCTAAGTGCTCGATCGGATAAACCCTTTTTCAAGCAAATCTTATAACTGTTCTTATAATTCTTTCATTTCAATAGTAGACATTCTGTAGGGAGTTTTGCATATAGGTTGGGTACTTGATACAATATCAATAGTAAACTATATTTCTATGTCAGTCAGCTCTCCTAGCAATTCAATTGGGAATACATCCAAAAATTCTCTAACAACAAGGATAATGTCTATTTCAACAGTCATAGATTGCTTAGTCAATATGCTATACAAGTAACCCTGACACCCCTTCTTAAGCAATTTACATTCTTTCATTACTGAAATTAGATAAGGTGAAGGCACCACACCATTACTAACAAACACAAACTCATTATGTCCTGGCGATCTAAACAAAACCCATTTTGTTACACAATCAATAGTAGCATAGTACTTAGACAACTATTCAATTCCCAAAATTATATCAAAATGTCTAATGTCCAAAGGTAACAAATCCACATATAAAGTAGCACCGCCAATATGTATATCACATATATGATACACAGATGTACATAACACAGATTCCCCAGATGGAGCAGATATACATAGCAAATGTCTATTCAATCTAGATGAAAATGTAGTGGACACAAAAGAATGTGTGGATCCGGAATCAATTAACACAAAAACATCTTGATTACATATAGAGGTAGTACCTGAACCATGTTAGTTTCTAACATTAAAGCCCGATCCAATACATCAACATAAGTAGGTAGTTTCAACACATTGACTACTTCCTAAATATCATTACAGAGACCGCCCTCAAATTTTCTTGCCATTTTATAGTCGATGTCAACCATATGCAGTGCAAACCGGGCCAATTCAATAAACTTTGCTTCGTATTCAGCTACAGTCAAGTTGCCTTGTTTAAATCCCTCAAATTCAGCCAATTTTCTATCATGGGGCACATTGTGGAAAGTACTTGTCGTAGAAGATCTCCAATCAATACCCTTGTTATTTTCACGGATTAACATCCACTACCTCCTCGTCTCATCTTCAAGTGTAAATGTTGCCAACTGTACTTTTTGTGCTTCGAGTCATGGAAATACTTCAAATAGCTTTTCTATGCCAAGAACGCAACTTTCCTGTGGAATGTCAGCAGTTTCATCTTCTTAAACTCCTTGGTAAGAACTATTGTTCAATTATCATTTTGCAAATCTTGTACAGGTTGCACTGGGGGTGGGGGTGGCGGTTGTTGCCACTGTTGTTGCCATTGTTGCTGTTGCCTCAATGTTTATGCCATATCCTAGATCAACCTTTCCATTCTATCTAGTCTGGCAGTAGAGGATTCCTCTATCTCCTCAGCTCTTGCTCTCACCATTATCTGATAAGACTTACATTATATTGCATACAAAAACCATGCACAAAATATCCACAAACAAAAAGAGCAAGCATATACAAATAGGCAACAATTCATATATCACGTAGTCACATATTTCAGAACACTTTAGCATATTCTTAATACATTCAAGCATATATTTACCATATGAATGCAACTTAAGTCTTTTCCAGACACTCTATTGCCCATTTGAACAAGTGTGCAAGTTATTACTTGTGCTCTGATACTACTCTGTCATGACCTGAACCTGCCCCTATAGATTAGGATCATAACCGGCCTGTAATCATGAGATTACCAATGGCCTTAGACAGAAACCAACTCATGCTTAATAATAGGGGGCCAAAAGTGAAAGCAAAATGTAAAGATTGTCTAATGAGGTTGTACATAAATGGCATGGAACAAAAACTTTTTACTCATATTTATAATAACTCACACATTCATACAAAACATTATCATACATGTTCAGAAACATTCATCACATAGTCTTCCAAGTCAAAAACTTATATACATAAACGGTTATACGTGACCAACAAAAGCAACAAAATAATAAACAAAAGATTAAGAATAAAGCCTCTTCCATGAGGCATCCCAGTGTCACGACCCAAACCCGCTCCTATAGGTTTAGTATCATGACTGGCTAGTAATCCTAAGATTACCGAAGGCCTCTTAAACAAATACATAATATTAGGGGCTAGCGGAAGCAAAATGCAAAAATACATCGTCCATTGAGCTGTGCAGACTTACATGAGATAGACAATATTTAAACTTTTTCTTTTTTATATACATATATTATCACATCAGTCATGCGTCAGCACAAAGGGACTTAACCCTATATAAAATAACCAAAAACTTAAACTTTAATCACATAGCCTCGGGATTTGACATATCCGGAACCTCCACAGGAGGCACATAGGTTGGTTGACAAGACAGAGTCCAAGCAGAAGCTCTAGGTTTGGTTACGCGCCTGATCACCTACATGCATATATAACATAATGAGCTAAAGCCCAGTGAATAACAACAGTGTAAAGAGGTTATGAATGATGTCCTTACTACAATCTAAATCGGCCAATTTTAGTAATAAACAGAAAATCAGAATCATATGCTTAGCAGATCCATATTTCATACGGAAGCATAGTAGTTATACGTGGTACATCCAACAACAAAACAATACAGGCGGTCATGAAAACCAAACAGACGGTCATGAAGATCGAATAGTCATATATGATGGCCATCATACAGTAAACAGGAGTTCCAAGAAGTGGAAGTGATAGAGATCTCCGTAATAATGATAGTAAACAGGTGCTAAGGATGCCACAAATACAGTTCAAGAAAATAGGATCATCATTCATTAAGCAGAAGAACCATTTCAGAACAGAGAATAATGTAACGCAAAAAATAAATACTTTTACTTAAACATATCTTTACAACAGTGTTACTCACAGATAGCTCCAGAGACAGAGTAGACGGACCATAGTGTGTGACCTACACAAACACATAACAGATACACATTGAAACATAATATCACTTCCTTGATCAAACTGAACTTTTCTTGTCTTTTTGCTATTTAAGTAATCTGAAGTTCTACTACGCTTATTCTTTCTATATTCAAATGAATTAGATTCTCATTTTACATATTCTTTCATTACCAAATCCTTCTTTTCCAAACAAACTGATTTCTTACTTGGCTTCTTAATCAATTATTACTAAATCAATGATTTCAAACTTTTTCTTCTTTCGTTTTATAAAACATAAAATTAAAGCCACAAATCTTTTAGGAGCATCTTTGCATGTACGAAATTTAATTCACAATCAAACCAATTTTTTATTCTCAATTTCTAAATTTAGCCAAATTTTAGCTTTAATTCATTTTCTTCATATCAAACCCAATTTTAAACCCACAAATTCTAACACATGAATTAAACTTTCAAAATATCATTCCAAAACTTAGGTTTAAACCTGGCTTGTCTAAAAATATACAAACTCTTAAATAATTAAGAAAACTTGATCATTTTTAAACCATTTACCTATAAAACTCTTCTTCAAAGTCAATTATATATTCCATCGTATGGATCAAGTCTTCAAACAATTTTTGTTGGATGTAATTTATAGAGCTTAAGTCAAGATTAATTCTCAAAATTGAACCCAAACTTAACAAATTTAAAGAATCATAACTCATATTCTTCAACCTAACTTAATTTAACATCCAAAATCCAAAAATAATTAATTGATAGAATTAATCTCCAAAGTCCTTCATCCTTTCATTATTTCTTTCCAATTACTTGAAATTGAACCCAATTATTTCTTAATTTCTGCTCTTAGCTAAATTATTTATAAAATCTAAGCTTCAATGTCTTACTCAAAATCCAATTTCTTACAAAATCCATAAGATTAATTCCATAGCTTTCTTACTTTCAAGTTCAATTCCTCAATTCATCCAAATTATATACAATTGAACCTAGTTTCTTTCTAATTCCATAACTATAATCTTAAATCCTTCTCAATCTTAAGTATTATAAAAAGATTCTATAAAAGCAAACCAAACATAATTAATTTCTAAATTAATCCCCAAAACCATGATTCTAGCTTAATTTCCTTCATTTTCTCCTTAATTCCTTCCAATTGCAAGATATTGATTCTAAATTCATCTTTAATTTCAAGTGTAGTATAAAGATTTTACAAAAATCAAGCATGATTTCATACCTTGAACTTTAATGTCAAGAAGTTTAGTTGATTCCCTTCAATTCATTGCCTTTCCTAACTTTTTCTTCCATATTTCTTCGTCTTCTTAGACTCTTGAGTTAGATTTCCATCACAAATCTCCCTCTCTCTCTCTCTCTCTCTCTCTCTCTCGGTGCTCTCACTTTTTTTTCTTCCTTCTTTGAGCTCACAATGCTTCCAACATACACACATGAACCCTTATATTGGTATGTATATATATGTATGTCTATTTGTTGCCTCAAAGCTTCCAGAATACACCAATTCTCATACTTCTCTACACACCCACACCCACACCCACACCCATATACACCCTCCAATTAGATTCCTTCCTAATTTAATTTATGTTTGGGATTAATTTAATTAAGCAATAATTAGGCTTACTAAATCTTGATTAACACATAATTAAATTAATCATAACTAATCACAAATCTCACGTAATTTAATTAGTTTATTTGACTTCCTTTAAAGCCCGATTAATTATATTTAAATTTATTAGTCTGAATCAGATTTTTAATCAAATTCTCAAAAGACTCCAAATATCGAATTAAACTTATTTCCTTCTTCAATTTTAGTTTCTCACATCATCAAGGCCTTCCATTTCAGATCAAACTCAAAATTTTCGTCAATAAATTATATACTCAATTAAATACCTCATAAATAATTTGTATTTATGATAATCTTAATTCCCAACTCTCTTAACTTAATTAACACCAATTCGGACCCACTTAATGAAATATCAATTTTACTAAATTGTATCGAATATTTAATTAAACTCTCAAAGGGTCCGATACTCGAAATTAAAATAATTCAAGTCACCAATTATACCTTCTTGAGCTATTTAGGCTTTCAATTTCTAATTCCAAAATAAATCCTTGATAGAATCATATACAAATTAGAATAATAGGCAATTAAAATTTAAATCTCCTTAATTAATTATGTGCTAATTATTATACGTGATGGGGTCATCACACCCAAGTTGACCTCTCAAAACTTGGTTTTCTCACATATCTCTGGGGCTAGGGCTGGATATCTCGCTGCTCACCTACATACATATAATTAAAGAGTGAGCTAACGCCTAGTGAATAATATCAGAGTAAAGAGGTTAATGAATGAGATTCGTATTTAATAAATCATACTTGTACTTAATACATATAGAACACACTTTCCATTCATAATGTACTTAAGCAAATCACAACAAAACGACCTTGGGTCCAATCCATTATACTTAGAACATGTCGAAGGGACGAAATGATCTTGGGTCCAAACATTTTCCATAACTGATCATAACATGTGTACTAAACGACCTTGGGTCCAACATTTCCATAGTCTTGTTCATGCGCATATTCAAATTCAAGATCATATTCATGCTTAATGGATCCATACACAAACGACCATTCGATCCTTCAAATCATATGTACAAAACGACCTTAGGTCCATCATTTCTAAATTTACATTCATACACGCGTTGATAATCATAATCATGTTCACGTTCGTATTCACATTCAAAACGACCTTTAGTCCAATCAATTGCTTATTCAAAATGACCTTTGATCCATTTAATGATCATACAAAACAACTTTCGGTCCAATTCATATGTAAGTTGGCCTTCGGTCTATCTTGACAAATATTCTAAATGGCCTTAGGGCCACTCTGTGTCTTTGTCAAAGATACCAAATGGCCTTGGGCCCATTTCATATTCTTGTCAAACATACCAAATGGCCTTGGGCCCATTTTGCATTCGTACTTATCAATCATGCATTCGTACTTATTAATCGCTTTACGGATTCTTTTACGAATCAGACAGATAGAATACCCATTCATAGTACAAATTCATGAGTTTAGAAAGTTTACCACATAGGTAGCATTTAGAAAGTAGCATACATGAAATATCTTTACTAAGATATTACTCATAGTGTTCAAATTGTTGATTCGTCCTCGTGATTGACCCTACACAATTCATAGCACATACATAAATAGGGTCACAATAGAATTCAATTCGTTCCCAAATTCGTTTATCTTTCTTAGTGTTCTTTCTAACTCTCTAGTTCATTTAGGATGCTCAATGTATGCCTAAGAATGCTCAGAAATGAAAAAGAACAGAAATTGAAATATAAAACAACTATTCAAAGTTTCCTGAAACAGGACACTTCGCTCGAGTGCAACATTAGTCGCTCGAGTGAACCCCTTAGTTTGCAAAAGTACTAGATGCTCTCATTTTACGCTCGAGCCAACTTTGGGTTGCTCGAGCCAAGGTTGAAAATAAAGGGTGGTTGCTCGACTTTTGGTCGCTCGAGCCAACCCCCAATGTGTGCAAAAGTACTAGGAGCACGAAATGTACACTCGATTTCAACACTTAAATGCATGCATGACTCACTCAAACATTCAAGAACACTCCCAAATACATATAATTGAAGCTAGCTTCACCTATAGTTCAAAATTTCATGAATTTAACAAAATTCAAACCTTAAACTTTATGTTTGTAAAATTTATGTTTTACATCTTGCATTCACAAGCTTCAAGGCTTAAAATTGGGCTTTAAAACTTTACAATTGATGCATGCATATGAGATACAACTCTTAAGTCTACATGAAATACAAGATTCATGTTCAAAAATGAGAAAATGTAACAAATTCATGCAAGCATGTATGTTAGACCTCCCTAATCATCATCTTTAAGCCATTTCTTACATTAACTCTCATAATCTTCTTAAATTCATATCTTTGATAACTTAATTTCATGAATTATAAGCTCATGACTTACCTAGAGTCTTCAATCAACTCTTCACAAGCTAGTTCTTGAGTTCCTACACACAATTCTTTAAGCCCTTAGCCAAATCTTCAAGATTGAGCCTCACTCTCTCTAGAATCACACTTCTCTCTCTAAAATGCTCTCCACAAGCTGAATTTTGAGCTCAAAAATGAGCTAAGCACCTTAATTAGCTTATATATAGGCTAGGTTAACTTAAGAGTGCTGCTATTAGCACCTGCCAAAATTCTTTGGACCCTCCATTTTATAATTTTTTTTATTACAATTATACCCTAAAGTAAAATTACATTAAAAGACATTATTAAATAGAGCAATGGAGGACGATGACAACAATTCTAGTGAGACCGGCGTTCCATTAATAAGTTTATTTGTCTTGTATTAACATTCTCGGTCGTTTTCGGTCGTTCTTGTTTCGTTCGAGCTATTCGGTACTGGTTTGCTGACTGTTAGAATTATGTTCGGTAATACAGTACTGAACATAATCCTTTCGTTCAATACATAGGTTCCGAACATTAATGCAGATAGTCAGTTATGTAATTTTCTTTGTTAAACCAACTTAGAATGGAAAAGAGTGAATTGGAATGGATTTAAGTTATGTATTTTGAATGGATTTAATTCATGTTATTTTAAGTTGTGAATTGGAATGGATTCAAGTTACACAGTGATGAACAAATTTTGTTCGGACATACAGTGCTGACAGGATCATTATTGTTCGACAAAACCGTTCTGAACAAAATACATTTTTTTAGCTACACAGTGGTGAACAAATTCAAAATCATCACTCGAATCTGCTGATCTCCTATCGAGATTCTTGAATTCAGGGCATTTAGATGAAAGCTTTAATCTGGTTCTTCTGGCTTGTCTCCAAAAACCCAGATGTAGAAACTGAAATTCTCAAAGAAATCAATGAGAAATCCGAAGCTTCAATCTACGAAGAAGTGAAAGACATGGTTTACACACATGCGTCGCTGAGCGAGACCATGAGACTCGACCCACCCGTCCCCATTGACGGAAAACAAGCTTTAAAGAACGACGTGTTGCCAAATGGGACAGTAGTGAAGAAGGGTATGAGAGTGAATTACCATCCTTACGCAATGGGAAGGTCGGATGAACTGTACTGGACCAAAGCTCCAAACTCTAAAGATTGAGTGAGTCAGGGAAGGAGAGGGATGAAAAATTAGGTAGGTGTGCATTTCATTGTGAAAATATTATGAATATGGGTAGATTTGGTAATAAGTGGGGTGTCCAAAAAAATATTATTAAAATTTAGGGTTTAGGGTTGGGGTCCAAAGAAATGGGGGGTCCAAAGAATTTTGGTAGGTGCTAATAGCAGCACTCTTAACTTAATTCACTAATCCATGATTAAGATAAGTAATTGGAGCTTAGTTTAATTAATCAAAGTCTTATTTTAATTGAATTAATCTAATTGATTCAGTATGAATCAAATTTTAATCAAACTTCACCGTAGGCTCTAAAAATTATGCAGATCACAATGATTCAATCAATTTTGGTTTTCTGAAGTCAATAAGGTCTTCAATTTCAGATTATAGCGGTATATAGGACAAATATCTCCACAAGGGAATAATATAAATTCAAAAATGCGTATAATTACATGCTTAGCATCCAAAATTATATTAAACACATAATCACAAATATAATTAAAGATTAATGGCATCAGACAAAACGAAGTTATCACAGTAAGTGAATGGATCTGTCGAAGAAGCCTTCTTGGTAGGGTTCATCAGTAAGAAACTCGATGTCGATCAGTTTAAGACTGTCCACTCTTGCCGCAAAAAGGGCAGATCTTGGAATCAGGTTATTGAGGTATTATTGATTTTCAGTTTTCAAAGAGAAGAATCCGATGGATCTTGACAAATTACATATCTATAAGGTTGAACAAATCTTGGCTTTGAATTTTTTGTGGTTGTTGTTGCACAGTTGTTGATCTGTTGATCTTTGTCTTCTCCAAATCTCAATCATTCATTTCCATTGATGATAATGTTGATGAAATAAAAGCACATGCAACAATTAGAGAGATAGAGACATAGATAAAGAGAGTAACTCTGGTTTTATTGCTCTACAAAATTTATACAAATAAAAATTGTACAAATGAAAAATTTGTACAGATAAAATTTTGATAAATAGAAAATTTACACAAATAAAATTTAGATAGATAGAAAATTTACACAGAAAAAATTTAAACAAATAGATATAAATTTGAATAGATAAAAAATAATTTAAACAAATAAATATAAATTTAAACAGATAATCCGAAAAAAATCAATAAATAAAAAAAAGTCAACTGATAAACTAAAAATAAAAATGAAAATAAAATGACTTTCCAAAATAATAAAAAAATTCCTACCAAACAATTTTACCAAAAAAAAGAAAAAAAAGAAAAAAAAAAGAAGACTATACACCCTCTTTTAGCTTCGAACAAATGTTCTCAACCCAAAAAAAGGGCAAATATTTTGGCAACGACTGTGACGAGAAAAATCTATATTATATATTGTAAGAAAGGTTTTTAATCCTAACTATTATGGAATTTCAATCTCTCAATCTAAATTTTTTAATTTTTTGATTAATTTTTTTTTTTTAACATTTATTAATTTTTCCCAATTTCTAAAATTTACCCTTACAATAACACTTTAATAAATATTTAAAAATCACAAATTACACATATATAAATAATTATAAATAAAACTTGTGCATAATACGGGTGTGCATAGTAGAGGTGATATAGCCTAGTTATTTTGAAACGAAAATATAAATTCAGGAGAATCAGCTAGGCTGGCATTGGCAATGGTATAGAAAGAAGACGACCTGGCTCTTAGAATCGGGTCTTGCTTTCCTCTTCAATGCCAGTCTGTCTGTCATACCCTCTCTCTCTGTCTCTCTCACTTCGCCTATATATAGACATATATACGTATGCCCTTGATGTCTTCTTCAACATTTGGTACGAGCCTCTCTCGTTTTTGTTTCCATTCTCAGAGCGAGAGAGAGAGAGAGAGAGAGAGAAAGAAACTGAAACCCTAGGCCTAGTCTCAAAAACCGAACTTCTCTGAGAAATCATCATGAGTCTGTTCGGCCTTGGAAGCAGGTATTCCTGATATCTTTCTCATGTATGTATTTTATTGGAATTAATTGGGTAATTTTTCATGTATTAATCTGGGTTTTGATTTTGAATTTTGTTTCATTATCCATTCATGGTGACAATGAAATTGAAGCGAGTTTTAATTGGTGCCAGTAATGTGACTCTTAAAAAGCTCTCATTCCGAGAAGTATCTGTTAAATGAAAAACTTCAATCAAATTTGGGAATAAATTAATACATAGCCAGGTAGATTGTTTGGATTGATTGGTTTGTGTTCAATCTTCATTTCGTTGAAGGTAACCTCAAAGTCTGGGGTTTTTTCGAGCTAATGCATAGCACTATAGAATGGATTTCATCATGCTAACATGGGATGTAGGATACTTGCAAACTTGAAAACCTATAATTCGAATTGTTTAGCAAATAGACCATTAATTTAGATAAATTTTTCGTGTTTTTTTCCAAATTCCCTTACCAAGCTTGCAGTAAGCTTCTGTCTTGCATTTCCTTTGTTGTCTGTTACTACATGACTTAGGGTCTGTTTGATAAAACTGAAAATTATTAAGTAACGAAAATTTTCAGTACTAAATTTTCATTGCTGAATTGTTTAAGAACTAAAATTTAAAATTTGATAAATTTAAAATTTTCATGAAGGTAAGGGTGTTTGATTCCCGAATATGGTTTTTGTGGGATATGGGGATTGGCAATGCCATGATATTAGGACGAGATTAGTGATGGGATTATATATTATATATACCAGGGGAGTAACTAATTAGGGTAGGATATATCAAGGGATAAGATGAGAGTATTAGTTTTGTCCATTGGATGGAGTGGTGTGGCTAATTCCATAAGCATTTGTTGCCAATACCATGGGGGAATCTTATTGGTAATCCCACCTTTTTGTGACACACTGGCATTAGCCATACTATTGGACTACTTATCCCTATCCATTGGTCAAAACAAACGATGGACTTGGAAACACACACAAAAAAAAGATGTGGGTTCCATGGGGGCCACATGGGATATTTAATTCCCACTCTAATCTGGTCAATCAAACAAGTGCATTGAACATTTGCTAACAAGTCAAGTCTCTCTGTCTTAAAATTAAGATCTACTTTCAATCAATTTTCAAATGTAAGTGCTAGCATATTGCCTATTATCGAACACCCTTAATTGTGAATAACTGAACGAGTTCACTTTTAAGTGGAATTGTATTATCACACGGTGCCCTAATGATCAATTTTTTTTAGGAAGGCTTGTTCAATTTTACAAGTTTTAACCTGTATTTTCATAATATCAAACTCTTATGAATAAACTCTATGTTCTTGAGTTTTGTTAAAATTTCATAACATTTGATCCTATTTATAGAATTAAGTTGGCATTTTCATCTTCAAGAAGTCTGCTGATGGGATGGTGGACTAAAATGAATGGTTGGTATGGTGAACTATTTTGTGAGAAACCTAATCGTGGCATTTCTCTTGACCTTTTTATATGTGTTTCAAGTCTAGTTGGTAGCCTTGGCCCAAACTCATAAGCAAATGTGGTCAAGAGCTCAAGGTTTTGAAAATATGTATCTTTTACTTGTGCTTAGTGGTGGCCTAAGTGGCCTAAGAAGCAGAACCATAGACACGTGACACGACACGAACACATCGACATGGAAGTTTTCAAAAAATATATAACATGACACGTGGAGAACACATGCAGAATATTTAATTTTATATATTTATTATGTCATATATAAGAACAAATAATTATTATATGTCATATATATGAATATTTAAGTCAGATAATAATTTTAAAGTCTAAAAGAGGATAATAGGTATAAAGTACATTATTATTTTTTTTGTTTGTTTTATCATTGGATTACAAGTTATTTTATTTGAATTTATAATGTGTTTCTTGTGTATCTATGAGTTAGAAAGTGTCTAACGAATGTCGTGTCATGTCGGTGTCGGACATGATATGTGGTGGCTTAAGGGGTAGGCAACTTAGGTGCTCGCCTAGGACCCCGAGTAGTAGATGACCCTACTTATTATATATTCACTATAAATTGTGTATACATTAAATAAATTATAGTCAAAATAATATTCAAAAATAGCAAAAAATTGCAAATGATTTCTCAATAAATAAATACAAAAGATTAAATCTTAGGAAAAATTACAAATTAGTGGTGCCTTCAACAAATATTTACGAATTGGAAAGGTTTATAACTTTAATTATTAAAGTTTCGTAAACTTTATCACTGATTTTATTTTATTTTTTTGCATTGAATTGCAATTTTTCTTAAAATATTAAATTATCAATACCACGTCACCAGCTCTCGGTCAAATCAGAAAGAGATCAAACAACCTCTCTCATTATGTAACGACTTGGAAAAAAATTTAACTTTTGATTTAGAGACTCTTCAACGGGATTTTAAAGGACAAACTTCACTTTACCCCCTTGTAGTTTGGGCCATGCGCGATTTACCCCCCTAACATTTGGAAATGACTATATAACCCCCTTGTGGTTTGTGGATTGAAGCACATCGTTAGGCCCGTTAATGATTTAATAAAAAAGACTAAAATACCCTTACATTTTCGTCATTTGTTTGAAAGACAAAGTGTACTTTAACCCCTTGTGTTTTATGCCATGTGTGATTGATTTACCCCCCTTTGAAATTTGAAAATGAGCATATTACCCTCTTATGTATGCCACGTGTTTCACACTTACTATTAAGTTGGACATAATGTTAACGGTGCACTTCAGTTCACAAACTATAAGGGGTTTATGTGGTCATTTCCAAACATGGCTCAAACCACGGAGGGGGTAAAGCGAAATTTGTCCAATTTTAAAAATAGTTTTATGGCTCAAGGCTTTATGAAAATTTTACGCAAAATCTATATATGAGTTTAGTATACTTGGTAGAATGTCCAGATCAAAACTCTTACAGATTAATTTTCTAAAATTTCTGGATTGAGTGGTACTCGGATTGAATGTGATGTGAAATTCTGTGCGAAAATACTCCGGTTTTGTATTTTTTTAAAATAGTTTCCCATCTCAGAAAATTCTGAAATTTTTATATATTGTTCTCATAATTGTTTTGTAAGTTGGGTAAAAATTTCAGAGTAACAAGATGAATAATGAATTTTATAAAATTCACGGACTGATAGGTGTTTAGTAAATTGGAAAAACAGAATTTTATTATTCAATTTCGTTTGTGTTGAGTTTTGGGTGAGAAGACCATAACTTGAAATAAATGTTGTTGGGTCTAGTTTGGTGTTTATTTGGGACTTGTTTAGTTAATGGATAATGATTAAGTTCAGAACCGATAAGTATTGGATATTTGTGTTTCAATTTAGACTTGTGATTTAATTAATCTATACTTGATTGTTTGGTCCAGGTTAACTATGTGAATAGTAGGGACCACTTTAAGAGTTGATATGGTAAGTATCTACTCTAAATTATATTAATTGTTTGAATGATAAATTTAAGTGCCATAAATTGGAATAGTTATATTTTTCTGATAAGCAAAATGTTATGGTTTTGTAGTGAAAAAAATTGTCTAATCTTTTTTTGATAAATAAAAAAATTGTCTAATCTTATCAGTTATGTTTTTAAATTGTGTGATATTATGTATGTATATATACGCAGATATATCATATATGTGTGCATGGGTGGATGTGTCGAAAACAAATATATAAAATATATATATATATTTTTCTGTTTTTTTCTTTGTGGTGTTGTGTTGAGTGGTCGGTGGGACAAAACCCACATGCATCAGTTCCCCCATTTGCCTTGATCCTCTTCTTTTTTCTTTATATTCCTTTTCCCCTTGTGTTGTATTTGGCAGAGAGGAGAGCTCTCTCTCTCTCTCTCTCTCTCTCACACACACACACATACATTTGTTAACCATGGTGTTTTACATATTTCTTAAGATTAGGACTAGATTGGGTTAGATTTTAGTTCCCCCATTTGCCTTGATTCTCTACTTTTTTCTTTATATTCCTTTTCCCCTTGTGTTGTATTTGGCAGAGAGGAGAGCTCTCTCTCTCTCTCTCTCTCTCTCACACACACACACATACATTTGTTAACCATGGTGTTTTACATATTTCTTAAGATTAGGACTAGATTGGGTTAGATTTTGGAAAATTTTTTGAGAAGGAAAGTTGTAGAGCTTGACGAACTCTTTGAAACCTTAGTGTAGGAATTTTGATTTGGCAAGTTTGAGATTTTTTAGTGTTGCATCTTCATTATTTGAGGTAGAGATTTTCTTCATATTATTGCTTTAAATCTATGTTAGGGATATTTTGAGAAAATATACCATGATAGGACGTATTACATGTATTATTCTCAGATTTTTGTTTAAATAATTTTTGGAAGAAAGTTATGTTGAAATGTTAAGAATATTGGTATTCTGAAATTGATTTGGAAAAATCATCTTGTGTTTGATAATACTTGTCAAAATTTGAAAATAAATTTGAGAGTTGCTTTTGGAATGAAATCTCTACTAGTAAAATAGTCAAGATATTTTATGAATATACTAGTTGGCCTCCCCACACATGTCGCAGGTGGGGGGCTCATCATTAAGGGCAAAATCATAAAAATTATTTGTGGAATAAAGATATGTGCATAAAAAATAATGAGTTAATTTGAATAAATTATTAATTGAACATAATTTATTTTGTAAACATTATAAAAAAAGTATTTTATGAAAACAATAAATAAATCAAGTAAGTATTTTTCATTTTCTAGAAATATACATTACATTCGCTTGTATTAATAAAATATTTCAGTGTTCAATTCCAAAATAACAATACTACAAAGGCTCAGATTCATTTCATATGTGGACTCCACTATCAATTCAATCTCCACCATACAAACACAAACACCTTTGGGGTAAATTCAGAGTCCGTAAGGGTGGGTTCCTAACATTTTTCATTCTAAAAAGGATTGGTCGCAAACAGAGTGTTCAAACCTTGTAATGAACCTTAAAAAAAAAAAAAAAAAAACCAACTCTATCATCACCTAACATGTTGTAAGGTATCTTATTTTTACTGTACACTCTAATTAAAAAGTAAAATATTTGTTTGATTCTGTTTGATAGCAAATTGTTATCATGGGGACATCTGTTTCTTCTAATATACTTGTATAATATATTTTTCTATGTAATGTAATATCTCTGAACAATAATCGGTAATTCTTATACTGTACGGGAAGTTATATATTGAAAATAAGATCTCCAAACATAAGAGTGGAAGTAGAATCCTAAAATGATTCCAATGATCTATTTCCTTGTACTATGAAACTCTTAATAAATACAAAAATGAAAGTAAGATGAAATGTTCAATCATATATTTTAGGAGAAATATCAAATCAATTGTATTATCAAAAAATAATTACAAATTAGTAATAAATTTTATAAATATTAATAATTAAAATCATAAAATTTGTAACCTATGTGTAATTATTATTTTTAAATTACACTGGGGGGTAATTGCCTCTGTTTTATACCAAATGACTGTTTATCTATAACCATTTTTTTTCTAAGAATTAAATCGGAGAATGTACATTGTAATAAAATGGCAATTTTAATTCACTTTCATTTGCTTTTTTTAATTTTCCATTTCCTTTGTACAATGAATGCCACCGCTTGAACATATTCAAAAATTGTACAAAATTTCTTTTTAAGCAATTTGGAATAGTTTTAATTTGTTAGTTGGTTGAAAAATATTATTATTAAGCATTTACATAATATATAACACTAATTTATAAAATATTTTTTCATATATATAACATAAACTAATTTTACGTAATATTTTTCATATATATAATTATTAATTCGTAACAAATTTCACATCTTAAATTTCTCTCACACTCATTTTTTATTGGAGGTTAAAAAAAATATATGTATTTACTATAATGGAGCAGAGCGATTTCGAAGAGAGATTATGAGTTTCAAAATTTCATCCACAGTTAGCGGATGGATCGGTGCGGATTGAGCGATTTTAGTGGATTAGATGATATTTTGCACAACATGTTGCATTTACATGTTATTATAAAATGTTACATAAAAGAAACAAAGGCCGAAAAAAATATTATGAATTAGATAATGCATAGGATGGAATTATTGGATAGACTTAATTTTTTTTTACCTACACACAAAAATTCTTACAAAATGAATGGTTTATATTATTAGAACGAAACACATGGTGAATCACACTGGCCAACACCCCAATCCAGATCATAAATTGAAAGGGAGCCTAGCCCAATAAGAAAAAGGGGAAAAAATTAGACATAACCATGAGGAAGTTAGTGAAGAGAGGTGTAACACAACTGAAAAAGACGGAGAGAAAAAGAAGTTAACAAATCAGAAACCAATCCATAGGAAGGAACTACACCAAGCTTGCATCTAACACACGAGACTTGCAAATCTAAAATACACATGCTATTGATATACAAGTAGACAATAAATAACTTACATCTAGACTATTCATAACAAATTAAGGATGCAACTGGGAGAAAAGAAAAAGGCAGGAAGTGTGTTGCAAGCTTGTGTGGACAGGGAAAGTGACTGCAGTGGTCGACCGAAATTGTAAATTGTAATTTTTTTTTTTATTATTATTATTTTTTTGTGACTTAGAACAACGGCTATATCTGCCACAACAGCAAGTCTTCGTCTCATTGTAAGGGGAAGATGATTCCAGTTTTAAATATATAACCAAAGCACCGTTCAAGATGAGGTTGAAAACACAACCCATGGTCATTTCCTATTAGCTAGGAAGTTGGTGGTGCTCTCTTCCACCAGCTGGCTTAGGGGCACCGAAGATGCAACTTCTAGGAGGGAGAGGTGATGCCTTACCAATTGGTTTGTCCATTTGTTGAGAGATGAAGCAAATGTCTAGAAACAAGTGGATAGGAAAATGCAAGACACCTCATATTTGCATACAGAGGGAGTCGCAAACACAAGACACGTAATATGAGTTGTATATGACTAAAAGGAATAATGCATCGAGGGTATTTGCAGAAGTCAAAACGTTAGACTCATGAGTTGAGTACATCAGCGTTAGATTCAATTCACCTGTATGCTTGCGTTCTTTTATATAATAGGTATGGATTCATGTGCATATTGTTATATAATGTTCGTTTTTGTGAAAATGAAATTATAAAGTACGGATGAATCAAGCTTTTGTATAAATATTCATGTTCATCTTATACTAGTCATTGTTGCAAAATGAAAAATGTAAGAAGTGGATTTTTTTTGTTGAATTTCATATTTGAAAAGTGTATTTTGATGTGAATATCTTGTTGATTAATTAATTTTGGAAAAGTTGTAAAAAAATTGTTGTGTATATAAATTGGCAAAAATGAATTATTTGAATAGGTTGACATTGAATGTGGCTAGGTTCAAGGCATGAGAAATATTAGATCACATTTGGTATTTTTCTTGGAATTTGTAAGTATCAGGAGCTTACTAATTTCGTGGGTTAAATTAGTGTTGACATTGTTTTATATCCTATGTAATTGAAAGTGTGTTATTGGGTTTAATTCATGACTTTTTTAATATTATGGGATTAAAAATGGTGAGGTTGATCAAGTATGAGATTTGGAGGAAATCAAGTTGATTAAGTTGTTTGGTATAAGACAAAGTTTGAATTAAGAATATTATTCAAGTTAAAGTGATTTGGTATTTGATCACTAGTTCTACTAATTGAGTTATGTCATTATGATATTTTCATTCCTTAAGTTCATATATGAGATATTTGAATTGTTTGGTAATTTTTGATGCGAAAAAAGAAAAATGATGATTTTAGCTAGTTTGGAGCTAATGGGCAATTCAAAATAATTTATTTCTTTTATTGCTTTAGGTTAACTTGATGAAGTTAAAAATGAGGAATTGGTAAAAGAACACTTGTGTTATGTTTCGTAATTATAGTCAAAAGGGGATTTTGATATAATTAGCTAACTGTTGGAAAATATTTTTGGTATGTGTTTGATTTTTAACTATGTAGTAACCGGGTATGTGTTTAGTATACTTAGTTAATTGGCGGACTTGGTGCCAGTATTATTATTAATTTTACGGGTGAGCCTGTTTAGGCATATAGCCAGTATTATTGGTCTAATATAGGTAGGGGAGATAGTGGTACCAACTATCTGCGGTATAAATTCCTGGACATTTCTTAGTTCAGAGGTGTAACCTCGTGGTTGTGGATGGACTTTGTTTTTCATGCACGACTCTAAGGGTGAGCCCTGAGTGTGGGCTCGTGGTTGTGGATGGACTTTGTTTCTAATACACGACTCTAGGGTGAGCCCTGAGTGTGGGCAGGTAGGACCTATTATTGATTTTCCGCTTGGACACGTTATTGGTGATGAGGTGGGTCATAGCCTTGAAGACAGGTATTGTACGCCTTCTTGGTGGTTATTATATTTTAAAGCTATTTATTTATTTAACTAGATAGAGTTAATTAAATAAAGTGGAATTGAGCCCACGTTGGCAAGTGTTAAAGTTGAATATTTATTTAAGTTAACAAGAGTGAGTTACTTAAATTATTTTGATTTAAAGTCTTATTGGCAAGTGTTAGAATCTATTCATTTATTTAAGTTAACTAGAGTGAGTTATTTAAATAATCGGACTTGTGATCCCGTTGATAAAAGATGTATATGTGGTTATTATCTTTTGGATAAATTATTAATTATTTAAGTTAACTTGTGGGACTTAATTAAATAAATGGGTCTTAAAGTGATTGAGCAAGTAAATCTAAAAGTTGGGCATTTCATGTCATTTTTGTGGATATATGTTGTATCACCGTATCCGCATGTATTGTAAAGTAATTATATGAGATTGCTTGGTGAGCTAGTGGTTTGCTCACCCCCTGCCTATAAATGTGTACAGGAAATGTTTTCGGACTTGAGGATTAGACAATTGGTTGTGTAAAGATGTAGGGATTATGTGATAATGAGTTGTAGCCTGTAGTGCTCTTATTTGGTTGTATTCAGTTTCGAACCGTATTTGTTGATTTGGCTGAGTGCCTTTTTCTTTAAAAATGGGTAATATCCATTTTATGGTTGCAAGTCCGTGGGGCATTGTATTTGAAAAGTGGAATGTATTTTTTTTTTTTTTTTTGGTGTTATATAATGTTTATTTTGGAAAGGAAAGCATGTAAGGAAGGTAAAATACAGAGAGTGGGTTTGTGGTTCCCATTGGTATTGTCACTTTCACTTTCAATTATATTATATTTTGAAAAAGTAAAGAATATTGTTAAGAAAAGAGGATTTTCAACAATTAAATGAACAAGAACGAGATTTCTTTCTAAAACCTCACGCTTAGATGAATTAGTTTTTGCCTGATTAACCTTTGAAAATCTAGGGTGTCACACATTAGATAACAAAAGGGCCTCATCATTACATTTACATGACACGCCTTTGATTCTTTTAGTCAAGATAGAAAATTAAGGTCTTTTTATCAAAATTATTTTGATTGTGAAGTTTAGGGATATTGTTATGAATTTTAAATAAAAATTATAACATAAAAAATAAAATTACAGTGTAAGAAATTATAAGAGGCCCCATTTACATTTTTTTCTTTCGGCCTCGAATAAGCTTGAGCCACCTTTAGTTGTACTTTTTGTGAAGATTGAGTGCGATAGTTTTATTTTGAGGTCATCTGGGATGACATTTTGGTCAAATATGGATTTTGTAAGTTGTTATGGAAATGAAAGGTGGTTTTTTTGTTTTTGTTTTCTTCTTTAACTGTATAGACAGTGTTTTCAGAAAATTTTAAGTGTGCATTTTCTTTCTATTCTAATGCCATTATTAATTCATAGTTTTGTTCATCTTACTGCATCCTCGAGAATCCTAAATTTGACTTAAGAGTATGTTTTATTCTGTTTTTACATTGAAGTACATGAAATTATGGATTAAGATATCAGTGTCTTCTTGGGAATGGGGAAAAAGGCTTTCTTTTTTCTTTTGGTGTATAAAGTGGTTTTGATTGCTCATTTTTTCTATTAAATACAAGCCTAGAAGATGGGTTATTGTTTTCCTTGGTTATTTTTCCATTGCTAATTATATCTCCTATCCTTGAAATGTGCAGAAACCAGAAGACATTTCGGCCTAAGAAGAGTGCTCCATCAGGAAGTAAGGTTGGTGTTCTAACTTAAAGGCAATGGGTTTTCAAGTTGTCTCCTTTGCCCTTCTATTTATTTATTTTTGTGCTACTGAGATTCAACTCAAGAAAGTATGAATCCCAACTCTTTGGAGCTAGCCGTTTTGTTGTTGATGCTTTTTCTCCATTTGTGTTTTATTCCCACACAGGCTGCACAGCTTCAAAATCATATTGATGCTACCTTAGGTAGTGGAAACTTAAGGGAAGCTGTTCGACTGCCTCCTGGTGAACATCCTAATGAGTGGTTGGCTGTAAATAGTAAGAAAATTAACTTAAACCTATGACTTCCATAACTATATGATTTTCTGCAGTGCCATGTCTAAGATTCTGTCCTGTCTTTAAATTTGTTCTGATTTCTCATCTATCTGCTGTTATATTTTTTGGAACTTCAGCATGTAAGTCTCCATTGCATATTACTGTTAACTAAATATCAATTACTAATGCTTCTGTCTTTTATTAAATTTTCTTAAAAGAAAAAATAATATAATATGATGTTGGTGAACTGATGGGGTAATAGCTAGTACAACTTGATTTGGTGCTTGTGTGTACATATTATTTTGTGTTCATCATTTGCTAAATCTTAACTAGAAGTTCCACAAAACAGCTTTAAAAAACATAAACTCACGAACCATTATTAATAATAAGTCGTATAAATTTCTCTAAAGAGTTGTTTCAAACGTTAGTAGGTGTCATTTAGGTTTACACATTTAAACAACAAATCATGACTCAAAAAGTCCCATTTCCTGTTACATTATGCATATTTTTTTGGACTCTGTAACATGCTTGATACTTCATACTGCAACTTAAAGCCATTGTTGTCACTTTCACTTTCAATTATATTATATTTTGAAAAAGTAAAGAATATTGTTAAGAAAAGAGGATTTTCAACAATTAAATGAACAAGAACGAGTTTTCTTTCTAAAACCTCACGCTTAGATTAATTAGTTTTTGCTTGATTAACCTTTGAAAATCTAGGGTGTCACACATTAGATAACAAAAGGGCCTCATCATTACATTTACATGACACGCCTTTCATTCTTTTAGTCAAGATAGAAAATTAAGGTCTTTTTATCAAAATTATTTTGATTGTGAAGTTTAGGGATATTGTTATGAATTTTAAATAAAAATTATAACATAAAAAATAAAATTACAGTGTAAGAAATTATAAGAGGCCCCATTTACATTTTTTTCTTTCGGCCTCGAATAAGCTTGAGCCACCTTTAGTTGTACTTTTTGTGAAGATTGAGTGCGATAGTTTTATTTTGAGGTCATCTGGGATGACTTTTTGGTCAAATATGGGTTTTGTAAGTTGTTATGGAAATGAAAGGTAGTTTTTTGGTTTTTGTTTTCTTCTTTAACTGTATAGACAGTGTTTTCAGAAAATTTTAAGTGTTCATTTTCTTTCTATTCTAATGCCATTATTAATTCATAGTTTTGTTCATCTTACTGCATCCTCGAGAATCCTAAATTTGACTTAAGAGTATGTTTTATTCTATTTTTACATTGAAGTACATGAAATTATGGATTAAGATATCAGTGTCTTCTTGGGAATGGGGAAAAAGGCTTTCTTTTTTCTTTTGGTATATAAAGTGGTTTTGATTGCTCATTTTTTCTATTAAATACAAGCCTAGAAGATGGGTTATTGTTTTCCTTGGTTATTTTTCCATTGCTAATAATATCTCCTATCCTTGAAATGTGCAGAAACCAGAAGACATTTCGGCCTAAGAAGAGTGCTCCATCAGGAAGTAAGGTTGGTGTTCTAACTTAAAGGCAATGGGTTTTCAAGTTGTCTCCTTTGCCCTTCTATTTATTCATTTTTGTGCTACTGGGATTCAACTCAAAAAAGTTTGAATCCCAACTCTTTGGAGCTAGCCGCTTTGTTGTTGATGCTTTTTCTCCATTTGTGTTTTATTCCCACACAGGCTGCACAGCTTCAAAATCATATTGATGCTACCTTAGGTAGTGGAAATTTAAGGGAAGCTGTTCGACTGCCTCCTGGTGAACATCCTAATGAGTGGCTGGCTGTAAATAGTAAGAAAATTAACTTAAACCTATGACTTTCGTAACTATATGATCTTCTGCAGTGCCATGTCTAAGATTCTGTCCTGTCTTTAAATTTGTTCTGATTTCTCATCTATCTGCTGTTATATTTTTTGGAACTTCAGCATGTAAGTCTCGTACTATACATAGTAGTCTGATTTGCATATTACTGTTAACTACATATCAATTACTAATGCGTGTCTTTTATTAAATTTTCTTAAAAGAAAAAATAATATAATGTCATGTTGGTGAACTGATGGGGTAATAGCTAGTACAACGTGATTTGGTGCTTGTGTGTACATATTATTTTGTGTTCATCATTTGCTAAATCTTAACTAGAAGTTCTACAAAACAGCTTTAAAAAACATAAACTCACGAACCATTATTAATAATAAGTTGTATAAATTTCTCTAAAGAGTTGTTTCAAACGTTAGTATGTGTCATTGAGGTTTACATATTTAAACAACAAATCATGACTCAAAAAGTCCCATTTCCTGTTACATTATGCATATATTTTTGGACTCTATAACATGCTTGATACTTCATACTGCAACTTAAAGCCATTGTTGTCTAATTGATTCTGAGTAAAATTCAGGATGACTTAATGGTTTAGAATTATGTTTGATACTGACCTAAAATTATGCTTGGTCAGTGTTGGGAATGGTTTGTTTATTCTTTTGGATTCTATCTCTAGTTGCGTTGTTGAGATTCTTTTTTCTTTTTCTTGTTTGTCTTCAGAAGGATAACTCAATCCTTCTTGCTTGTATTCCCCCCTTGCATTCATTGTTAAATTCTCCTAGTTTATTATCCCTCAGAAAAAAAAAAAAGAAAAGAAAAAAAAAGGCCTAAACTGCCTAGAATTAATTGAATGAAGAATCTAATACCTAATTTGCTTCAACTTTTTGAACTCTCTTGAAAGTAAACCATTTGTTTCAGAAATACGATTTTTTTATACAATATATGCATATTTTTGTACATTGGTGTGCGTTCATATCCATGGTCATACATTTTTTTTATCAATTGCAATTATTGTTAGCATATTTTTAATTTGATTTTTTGTGGCTGCAGCTGTTGACTTCTTCAATCAAGTGAACATTCTGTATGGCACTCTTACAGAATTCTGTACTGCATCAAGTTGTCCATTAATGACAGCAGGACCACGGTATCTTTCTTCAGTCCTAAGAATTGTCTTTCTTGTTTTATTGACGGAATGTTTGGTGTAGCTTTGCTTGATGTTAAGCTCTACGGGTGATATACTTATGGGAAAAACAAAGAAATGTTCTTGCGACACTCTTTTTCTTTAATTAGTGCGACTCTCTCTCTCTCTCTCTCGGACTACGAAGACATGGAAAATAACTTTAAAACTGAACCATGTTGGGATTTAAATTTTGGTTTCTTTGAAAGTTCCAAGTGCTCCGATTGTAACATTACATATTTTATTGTATTTGGAATTGCATATAATATTCTGCATTTACCACTAGAGGGATATTAGGTCTAAATTGTAAAAATGTTTTGGAAAGTCACTTGTATTAAGGGATGGGAATATATAGGATATTGTAACCAAAGATGGTATGGAATTAGTTGGTACAAGTTTTTATGAAGGTATCTGCCGGTGCAAATCAAATTCAATTAATGAGGTTTAAAACCATGCCAACATGTCTAATGAATTAGATATCATGATAGGGAAAAGAAAGGGCCAAGAAAGGGCAAGGAAAGGGCCAAGAAAGTAGTCAGAGATCATTATGTGGAACTAATCAACAAAGTTTAGTTAATTGTTACTTGTTGAAACATGCTTGTTAAGTTGATTGTCAGGATGATACAATTTCAGATCTGCTTTAAGCATGTACATTTGCTTATAATTAGATTATGTCTGAATTATGATGCATTCAAATTGCAAATCTTCAATTTTGCCTCCTCACAGATACGAGTATAGATGGGCTGATGGAGTTACTATAAAGAAACCCATAGAGGTGTCTGCTCCTAAATATGTAGAGTATTTGATGGACTGGATTGAGGCTCAGCTCGATGATGAATCAATTTTTCCTCAAAAGTTCGGTATGTGTTGTTTGCTTAATACAGTAAACATATGGTTTTTTCTTGTTTTAATCAAAAAAGGCCGCACTTTTTTTTTTTTTATCTTCTGTATATCTTGCAGGGGCATCATTTCCACCAAATTTTCAGGATGTTGTTAAGACAATATTCAAGCGATTGTTCCGTGTGTATGCGCACATCTATCACACACATTTTGAGAAGATTGTGAGTCTAAAGGAAGAAGCTCACCTTAATACTTGTTTCAAGCATTTTGTTCTTTTTACATGGGTAAGTTATCCAACTTCATCCAAGTTTTAGATTGTTCAATCTTACAGTTCCTTTTCTACATTCAATTATAATTGTAAAATGGGCGAAATTCATTACATTGTCTTCCATTTATATGCTTACATAATTTTGTACCACAATTGGTTTGTCTATCGAGTAATTTAATTTCTAGATTTGGTAAAAATTGTTAGATAGTGGGAAGGGAGAGTTTGGCATGAAGGATTTTGGCTAAAATAAAAAAAAACCAAGTTTTAGATTGTTCAATCTTACAGTGCCTTTTCTACATTCAATTATAATTGTAAAATGGGAGAAATTCATTACATTGTCTTCCATTTATATGCTTACATAATTTTGTAGCACAATTGGTTTGTCTATCGAGTAATTTAATTTCTAGATTTGGTAAAAATTGTTAGATAGTGGGAAGGGAGAGTTTGGCATGAAGGATTTTGGCTAAAATAAAAGAGGCTAAAATAGTCAATAAGGCAAAATGTCACATCCTACACATCGATCATTCACTTTTTTTTCTCACAACCATCTATTCAATTATAAAAAAAATCAAAAAATCATCCTAAACACAATTTTTTTTCATCTCATAAAATAGCTAAAAGCCAACTAAAATAGCCAAGTTCCCAAATGAGGCCTTAGCCTTAGCTGGGTCTAAGAAGGATGTATGCAACTTTACCCAATTTTTGCAGAGGCTCTTTTCATAACTCAAACCCGCTCTACTAGGGATGCTAACAACAAACCTTGTCATTCGGCCAAGCCACTCTTTTAAGTTCACAATCTATTTTGTATCCAATTTTGTTAAATATTTTTCTTTCACTTTTTATGCATTCTGTAGATTGCAAAGTGTTGTATTATAAAACTCTTCTTCGTCACCTTCTTTTTTGATGAAATGCAAAACTTTTCACCATTGAGTTTTCTATTGTATACTGTTAGATTTACACTTTACATAGTATTATATTTTTCACAATATCTGCACTTCCTTTTAGTATAATTAGGCTTATTTTGTGTAGACTTTTTAAGAAATGTTTATTTACATTAAATTAATACGTAATTTTTCTTTTACGGTAGGATCTTGCGATCTTCAATCTGGTTTTACGATCCAATCATGTAAACTCCTCCAACAATCTAATGTAGGATCCCGATGTTAACAATCTTGGGGTAGGTATGGTGGTAGAGGTGAGGAAGGTTGGGTAGGGAAGTGAAGAGGGTGGCAGGGGAGGTTGGGAAGTAAGGACACTCTGCAAGGTCCAAAAAGAGGAAGGCGATGGTGGGGTGGTTGCGGGTTCAAAGGTAGAAAATGAAGATAAGAGTAATTTGGTCTTAACTAATTAAAAATTAACTTCGACTAAATTTATTTATTTATTTATTTATTTTTTTCACTCTAAGGTGCATGACACAATTTTCATCCATTTGACGGGAAATGTAATAGTAACATTGTAGTTCAAAACCATGAAGAAGGTATGGGGCTAATTTTAAAAGACACGAGGTTAAATACTATTGGCCCATACCACAAGGATATAAAAAAAAAAACGAAAAAGATTTGATTTTGCCATTGCAATCAACATCCTAGTAAAATATACCAAAAACAAGTGTGGGTAAAAGAGGATATGCGTTAAATTTTATTTCTAATTTATAGGGTATTACCATCATTTTGTCACTAATGTTAACCGAGTTAGCATTGCAATTTAGTTTAGTTCAAAATCACAAAGGGGCTAATTGGAAGGGAGGCAAAGTGCTCCAGGCATAACCACATGGGGTGTCACGATCCCATTTCGCCCCCAGTAGAATGGTGTCGTGATGACCAGTAATCCGAGATTACCAAAGGTCAACTTACAAGGATTCACACAACCAAAGTACACATATGGCGCTTATATGTGCGGAAGCAATAAATTTAAATCTAATTAGTCCATAAGAGCAGTGTATAGATAAAATGAAAAGACATACATCTTAACATGGTCTTACAACTTGAATACAACATGAAATAAAATACATTTTACATATTGATCAAAAGGCTTTTCAAACCGAAATATACTAAAGAAATAAGCTACAAAGCTAAGAAGCATAATCTTCAAGATGATATAAAACATGATACAAAACATGAATCAAAACATCTTGCACATAACATCTTAGGCGTCACAGCCTTCTTGCTCGTCACCTACATATATATAAAAGAAATGGTGAGCTTGGATACTCAGTAAATGATATAAGTAATAAAGGCTTGAATGAATGATATACGAGATCTTTATCAAAACAATACATATCACAGCTTGTAACAAAACCTGGGATGAATCAAGTTCATCAATCAAAATCTTTCAAAGCTTTTAGGGATGTTTACTAACATCTACATAATACAAATGATGACATTCTTGACAAAACAAATGAATAATCGTTCCGGGATCCTAAGCACACCCGTTCATGACCGTCGGTGGCCGACCCGAAATCGATTAGACAAATCTACCCGTACATGACCGTCAGTGGCACTATCCGTACATGACCGTCGATGGCAAAAGAGGTATCTCAAACATGGGTGCTACATGTATTAACGTTTCCTAGCACGAAAGGACCTTCCAAGAATGTCATCAAAACAAAGATAATACTTGATACAAAACTAGAGGATAACCATTCATACTTAGTTAAGTACTTTTCCAAAACAAAGCAAAGCAAAGCTTTTATCAAAACATTATAACACAGCTTTATTAAAAATATCACTCACAATAGCTCTTCGGACGTAGGGAATAAGGGCAATAATCTAAGACCTACAAGTACATAATAACTCTATTGAATGCACTTCAAGACGACAAGAAGGGATGCTCAAATATGGGTAGGCAATGCACTATCAAAACAGGCTTTACATGAATGAAAATGATCTCGGCATTTCTTTCCAAAACCAAGTCAAGACAAAGCAAAACATGCACTGGGAATCCAAACACTGTTTTTCTTCTAGGAAAAGCATGTTGGGTACCAACCAAGTCTTGAAATGGATACACAGAGATGATCTAGGCCAAAATGGCCTAGTTGGGTGAACTTAGGAAGTCTTGGCCGAGGTGTGGTCTCCTAGGCCTAGGTGTGCAGCTGCCTACCAAGATGTTACAAGGTGCCGGCAAGGGTGTACCATGGTCGGCCTAAATGTGCAGGCAAGATAGACTAAGGTGCAAGTGATCATGCAAGGTAGGCCAAGGTGAGATACGATGCTTGGCCTAGGTGTGAGGTCTAGGCAAAAGTGGGTCTCGGTGACCACACTTGGGGAAATGAAGTCTGGAAATTTGGGTTTTCTCTTGAAAAACATGAAGAACATGAATGCCAAAATCATAACTTCTTATTCAAAATCTGAGATTTCATGATATGAGTTCAAAAACATGCACCTGGGTACCCATAGTTGAAGATTTCATGAAAACGAACACAAAAGCATGGAACTTGTTACAAACTTTCGGATTAAAACAAAGCTTTTCTTCAAGAACACAAGAACATCATTTTCTCTTTCTAAAACAAAACTTTAAATCAATGCACGGCTCACGAATCATGCTAGATCATGCAGTGTGATCAAATAAACATAAAGAACAACAAGGGTAGATCAAGAATCTAACCTCCAAACACGGATCTAACGGTTCAATGTATGAAGATCAAACTTAGAATCTAGCTCTCTCACTCCAAGAACTTCACTTCCTCTTCCTAGAGCTTCTCTCTCTTCAAAGGCAAAGATATGGTAATAATATGGTTTCTCTACTGCTAGCTGACTTAACCCTCTGCTGGGACACGTGGCAACGTTTGGTTGGATTTCCTCAAAAAGGTGCCAGAATGAAAAGACAGGAGTATGACAAAGTGTGTATAACACGTAAGGTGATGAGGGCATTCTGACAAGGCAAGGATCTCGGGTTCAAACGTAGGTTTCAGACAAGTAAGGCTTCCATGATCTCGGCTAGAAAGGATAACACATGGCCCAAATGTGCCACACCTCGGCCTAGATGTGCCACACTCGGCCTAGGTCATACCGGTCCCAGAACAAGATCGCTAGATGTCAGCTAAGGTGCACAACAAGGTTGCAAGGTTCTAGGATCAAAGGTCTCGAATGCCTAGATGATAAACATCTCGGCCTAGAGGACACACATCTCGGCCTAGGTGATGCACACCTCGGCCTAGATGGTGCATATCTCGGCCAATGTGCCAGGGTGATGGTGGAGGTCAACCAAGGTGGTTCCATGATGGTCCTAGGTATTGGCGCACAACGGCCTAGTTATAAGAGGTTCAAAAGTGTGACCTAGGCTTGAGACCGCAAGGATAGATGACCTAGGCTCAACACGCAAAGCAAGGAACAAAGCATGCATATAATACGTATGCAAAACACATAAGCACAAAACAAGACAGAGACCTTCACTTAGGCAAAACAAGTCAAAGTCTACAAATGCAAGCTTAACAAGACAAAATCATGCAAATGCTCATGAATGTGACTAAGAAAAGATGAGGGTTATTACATGGGGTAAAGTGGGTTTTGCCCTCTTGTTTGTTGGTTTTCCAATTACACTTTAGAACCGCCTATAACCCTGTTCATCAAGTGGTTTGAGGTTGGGCCTAGGCCTCACTGGTAGAGATGAGTGTTCAAACTATAGGAACAGGATTAAGGGGTGAGAAAATCCTTCAATCACTTCGCACCCATAAAGGATACCACTAGTTAGCCTCGGGCCCGTAATTACATTATGGCCTCTGATGCTCCTCTGACTAAATCTCTTGTCAATATGCTAGTCTTTTTTGGTATACTTTGGCTATAAATTGGATCCGGGGGGAAAAGAAAATACTAACATTTACATTATTAAATATTAGTGTATATGTTTCTTTCTCTATTAAACACACACAACACACATTGACAAGGACGTAAAAAGCATTGGTTGAGGAAGATTTGAAGGGTTGCTTTTATTTTATTTTATTTTTAATTTAGAAGTATAGGAATTATTGCAATATTAGAATATTATTTAGGATTTTATTATAGGATTTAACTGTGTCTTGTTTTATTTTGGAAACTTTTAAATTAAGGTTTTCTGTGGTTGCCTATAAATAGACCCTTATGTATTAAGGGTTATTTTGCTTGGAATATGAATTGAATTGAGAGTTCTTTAATATTGAGAATTAGAGTTTATTTTATTTCTTTGGGTGTGATTTGTTCCTATTCTATTACGTTATTGCTCCAGTTATGTCTTATTGACTGTGTGATGGGTGATGCAGGAATTCCAGTTGATTGATAAGGGGGAGCTTGCACCCCTGTACGAGCTTGTTGAGTCTATCTTACAGTTGTAGCCGTTATTTTTACTTTTTCTTTTCTTTTCTTTTTTAAAATTTATTTTGTATTGGGGAAACACATTCTGAGCTTTTGTTTCGCGTCTCATGCAGCCTTTTGAATTCTTCTCTATTTTTATATTTTTGTAATGGATGCAGTCTTCTGAGCTTCCGTTTGGTTTAGTTTGTATAAAGAGTTTTGAGTTTTGAATTATATTTGGAAAGATAAGTTGATATAAAGAGTTTTGAAAATAATTTTGGAATATTTTTATTATTATTATTATTCTATTTTGTAATTGAATATATGGGTGTGAGACAATTTGATTGATTGATAGGTAGAATAGCGATGTAATCGGTTCGGTATAGTTGGTATTTAGGTAAAAAAATTCACCGAATTAATAATGTCGATTTTATTTGAACACCAATACAATTCACTTCTTTTATCAAACCGTACTGAATTGAACCGATTTTTTAGTTTTGAATTATATTTTGAAAGATAAGTCGATTTTATTTACATCAGATTCGACTAGATCTATATAAAAAAATAATTGTCGGAATATAATCCTCTCTCTATACCTGCCTCTCTCATTCGATCTCTTAATTTTTCTACATTTTATCTGTTATACACTTTTCTTTTTCTATTTTAATGGAAAAAAAGAAATTCAAGTTCTGAACAAGTTGTCTTTGAGTTTTAGTTACAGGTGGTGAAAATTATAAAATTTTGTAGTTTCAATTTGTTTTGGTGCTGGCATGAATCATGGTTTAAAACTGCAAAATTTTGCAGTTTCATAATATATTTTTCAATTTGATTAATAAGGATAAATGCCTACTAGATTTTTGCTTTGAAATTATAACATTTTATAGTTTCAAAGTTTGCTTTTCAGTTTGATTAATATTGGAGATTATTTGCTTAAACGCTACAAAAATTGAAAAATAGCATATGTTTTTTTTCCCTATTGTTGCTATTTTTTGTTGTTACATTTTTTTTTTCCTTTTAGTTTATCAATATTTAGCACATTTTGTTACGTTTTTTCACTCTAATTTCTCCATTTATTCTTTTTTCTTTTTCAACAATATTTTGGACATTTCGGTGAGTCTCCAATGATGTTCTTAACGTCCAGTGAACGTTCTGGACATTCTGGCGACTTTCATTGACGTTCAAAACACTCCGGTGAACTTCCAGCAATACTTCGGCGACTTCCCGGTGATGTTAAACATTCCGACGAGTCTCCGATGACCGTCTGACAGAAATCCGACGGTAGTGGGATGGAACAACATCTGTAAATTAAAAAAATAAATAAATAATAAGATTTTTTGGTAATAATTAAAAATATATAGGACTAATTAGTGCAAATGTTTTGTTTTGGGATTAGATGGGTTTTGAACTTTGTATATGAAACTTATTGGTAAGTTCCCCATTAGTTTTTGTCCACCATTTCAAGCATATCTAATTCATCTATTTAATAAATACTTTTCAATTCCTACATTAACCAAAAAAAAAAATTAAAAATACGAAGGTGTCAAGAATATTAGTTTTTAAATTGTATATAACAAGAGTTTACAATTTTAGGTTATAAAGATGATAAAATTAATTAATTAAAGTTATTAATTTATTATACTTAGTAATATTATTACATTATTAGATTATAAATACAATATATATGTTAAAGCGGTTGATTTCGGTCTAATTCGGTGTACAAGGTACTTGAACCGATATCAAATCGAAAATTGAAAAAAATAAATTTAAAAATCACACAAACTAATTCTTGTTAAAAAATAAATTAAGTATAACCGGTTTGGTCGTTTTTTTTATAAATTAAGTATAACTAGTTTGGTCCATTTTTTTTTTTTTAAATTTTTCTTCAATCCTTAATGTAAAATGTGAGAGAATGAGATATGAGAGAAAAAATAATTGATCGATTTATTAATAAATAAATAAAAAAAGAAGAGAAATGAGAGAAGAATTTTGAAAAGAATTTTAAAATCTTATTAACCAAACATGTTTTTTGATTTTTTTTATCAAAATATTAATTTTAAAAAGTAAACCAAACGTTTTCTTTGTTTTTTCTCGATTTGAATGGAAATGCAGCTTCATTAATCACCCTCACTGTCACGACCCCATTCTGCCCCTAGTAGAATTGTAATAACCGACCCTCTATATGTTTTCTGGTATACTTTATGTCCCTTAATTTGTGTATTTATTTGGCTAATGTGGAATCCCATGTGAGATTAAACTTAATTGTGTGAAAAATATGGTTAGGGAACTATATCTATTACCTAAGAGGAAAATCTGTTACAACTGAGATGTTTAGATCAGAAATTGAAGGCCTTAGAGGCTTGATAATCTGAAATTGACTTTATACATGTGATCAGTATGATTTTTGGTTTATAATATGCATTTTTGTGAAAATCTGATTCGGAATGATTAAACTGATTAAGTTTTGTCCTTTTTTGTTAACTCTTATTTGAACTCCTTCAAACTTTAACTTGGTAAGTCTATCTTATAAGTCAAAAATATCTCATGAGAGAATGTGGTGAAGTTGAGAGAAAGAACTAGGAGGGAAGAAGATCAATAAGGAAGAAGGTTGGGAAATTGAGAAGGGTTGGAGAGATTTGAACTTAAGGTATGTGTAATCTACTTTGAATGACCTCTCTCTTGATCTTAGTAAGAATTTCTTGTGCCATCATGTAAGTTAGGGTTATAATAGGGATTAAATGTTGGATAATTGATGAATTGGAAAACTATTCTTATCATTTGGTTGTTTTGGAGTTAATGTGAGCTATGTGGAAGGATCTCATCTCATTCTTTGATTTCTTATGTTGGAATCACTTGATTGTTCATATATATATATATATATATATATGTATATTTGATTGTTCACATATATATATATATATATATATATCACATATGATCATAAATACAAGAGTATTGAATTGTTTATGTGCAATTGAAGGAATTAAAGACCTAAATGACTTAATGATTCATGTTTATGGTGATATTATATCATCAAATTGATTTAAATTCCTCTCTATTACACTTTGTGTTGTGTTGAGCTAGCTGTGAATGCGTTTTGCTTCGGATTGCACTAAATAGGGCAGAATCGCCGCACGTGCGGGGCTCACAGCCGCACGTACGGAAAACAGGGGATTTTGAGGCTCAAACACTGAAATAAATGCACGTGCGGGGCGCACGTGCGGCCCATGTGGGGAATTTCTATATGCTCTGTTTTCCTTGTTTGATCCTCTAGGATGGTTAAAATTGGTATTTGAAGCCTTTAGAATGCTCGTTAATTTATTGAGAATTAACGAATCAAATGTGAATTTAAAAGGGAATTGGACTAATTTGTGGGTTATATGCGTGTGTAGGTCACATACCGAAAGAGGCTATTGCACCATCAACGCACTTTGAGTAATAGTACTGTAGCAGTACACTTTACCTATAGCTAATGATTTTATTAGCACTCTGTTAATCGCAAGTCAACTGTGTTAACTTATGTGAACGTTTGGGAAAAATCTGTGAACATCTGTATGACTTTGAGTCTAGTCTATTCTGTTGATATCTGGGCCCAAGGCCAATTTGTAAAATCTGTTGGGCCTAAGGCCAATCTGTGAAATCTGTTGGGCCTAAGGCCAATCTGTGAAATCTATTTGGCCTAAGGCCAATCTGTAAAATCTAACGGGCCGAAGGCCGTTCTGAAAATACTTACAGAATATGGTTTCTACACCTGTATACGTTATAATTCGGATTTATACATTGAATCATTGAAGTATTATTATTCACTGAGCTTTGCTCACTCTATGTTATGTCTGTTTCTGTGGGTAATAAACCTGAAGGCCAGTCATAGTTCAGCTTGGGTTACTCCTTTTTGGGTCAAGCCATGTAGAGAAACTTATGCATTTTGTGGGGTTCCCCCTAATGACCTCTAGTTTGGTCCTTGATCTTTTGTCTAATGGAATTAGTCGAGTATAATCTCCTCTACCAATATTTTTGTCGTATGCCCACGTGTGGGGCTGGTTCTGTATATATGCTCATATATGTGATCATGTGAATGCAAACATCTGCTTCTTGTATATCTGTCTATCACATAAGGAACTGTTTATTGGCACATTGAGATCCTGGCATATAAGTGTGAGCTCGATGGATGTTAATTTACATTATTTTATGTTAATAAATGCTTCCGTTCTGGCCGCATATGTTGTATATATCGAATTAAGTGTCCGTTTCTGAAGTGATTATGCCCAAACTTTTAGGGGCAGGTTTAGGGCGTGACAAGTGGTATCAGAGCACGAGTTGCTGCGGCCAGGGACTCCTACACGTGCAGCCCATGTGGGAAATTTCGGTATGCTTTGTTTTCCTTGTTTGACCCTCTGGGATGGTTAAAATTGGTATTTGAAGCCTTTAGACTGCTCGTTAATTTACTGAGAATTAACGAATGAAATGTGAATTTAAAAGGGAATTGGACTAATTTGTGGGTTATATGCGTGTGTAGGTCACATACCGGAAGAGGCTATTGCACCATCAACGCGCTGTGAGTAATAGTACTGTAGCAGTACACTTTACCTATAGCTTATGATTTTATTAGCACTTTGTTAATCGCAAGTCAACTGTGTTAACTAATGTGAACGTTTGGGAAAAATCTGTGAACATCTGTATGACTTTGAGTCTAGTCTATTCTGTTGATATCTGGGCCCAAGGCCAATTTGTAAAATCTGTTGGGCCTAAGGCCAATCTGTGAAATCTATTAGGCCTAAGGCCAATCTGTAAAATCTAACGGGCCGAAGGCCATTCTGAAAATACTTACAGAATATGGTTTCTACACTTGTATACGTTATAATTAGGATTTATACATTGAATCATTGAAGTATTATTATTCACTGAACTTCGCTCACTCTGTGTTATGTCTGTTTCTATGGGTATTAAACCTGAAGGCCGGTCATAGTTCAGCTTGGGTCACTCCTTTTTGGGTCAAGCCATGTAGAGAAGCTTATGCATTTTGTGGGGTTCCCCCTAATGACATCTAGTTTGGTCCTTGATCTTTTGTCTAATGGAATTAGTTGAGTATAATCTCCTCTACCAATATTTTTGTTGTATGCCCACATGTGGGGCTGGTTCTGTATATATGCTCATATATGTGATTGTGTGAATGCAAACATCTGCTTCTTGTATATCTGTCTATCACATAAGGAACTGTTTATTGGCACATTGAGATCCTGGCATATAAG